CGGGCCCGCCCGGGGCGCCCGGCCTGAACGCGGCCGGGGCCATCAGCGCCGCCACCTACAGCACGGTGCCCAAGATCGCCTTCTACGCCGGCCTCAAGCGGCAGCACGAGGGCTACGAGGTGCTCAAGTTCGACGACGTGGTCACCAACCTCGGAAACCACTACGACCCCACCACCGGCAAGTTCACCTGCTCCATCCCGGGCATCTACTTCTTCACCTACCACGTCCTGATGCGCGGAGGGGACGGCACCAGCATGTGGGCTGATCTCTGCAAAAACAACCAGGTGAGCGCGGGCGGGCGGGCGGGCGGACGGCGGGGAGGGCGGGGACGCAGCGCGGGAAGGTGCGGGCGAGAGGGAGGAGACCCCGGAAATGGGGTGGGAGCCCGCGGAGGAAGCGTGGGAGATGGGCTCCCAGGAGCGACGGCGAGGGGGGACGCTGTCCCACCCTGCAGAGGCGGGGGTCCTTCGCGGAGGAGGCCGCCCGCGGCTGGAGAGGGCGGCCCGGGAGTCGGGGACCCTCAGTCGGCGCTCGCGCGGGGGAGCGCGACCCTCCAGGGGCAGGAAGCCGGGAGCTGGGTCTCCGGGACAGCTAGTGCACGGAGGGGGCGGAGGGGAGCCCGGAGCAGGAGACGACCCCGGTCGCGGGGTCCTCAGCAGCGTTAGGGTCGCCGGCAGGTTTTTCCGGGAATGGGGAGGGCTGGGAGAGTCCGGAATGGGCGTGCCGGGGTGACCGACTCCGGGGAGATAGACGAGGGCCGGAGGGAGAAAGAAGGGTCCCGAAGGAGTAAGTCCAAGCGGGGCGCGCCCAGGGCGGAGGCGGGAACGTGGGGCCCGCGGTCTCGGGGCCCTCGAGGCGTCCCAGGCAGTGGAACTCGCATACGGGGCAGTCGATTTCAAGACGCAAACTCCAGTTTAGTTTTCAGCCAGAGAATAAAAAGGGGAGAGAGCGGCAAGGAGTGCTGAGAACGAAAGGAATAGTTGAGAATCTGGGCTAAGCACGCAGCCGAACACAGAATCCAAACTCTACTGACTGTGGAGTAGGACGACGACCCGGCGGGTGGCCCGGAGCGTGACCTGTTCGAGCCCACCCGGGGGCTAAGGGGCTCCCAGGCCAGCCGGTCACGAGGACTTGCTCCCCTGGACCGGTCGGCGCTGCCACGGGGCCCGGGTCTGCAGTGTTCTGCTGGGGACACTTTACCGTGGAGAAATGAGCGGTCATTGTACGACCCAAGCCTGTTTGAGCCCTTAGTCAGAGAAGGAAAATAATATTTGTAACTACTGGAAAGTGTCATCGGACCTCTGTGCGCGCCGAATCAGCAGCCACTGGGGCGAGGCCTTGCAGCCTGAAGCCTACGGTGTGGACTGTTTCTGGGCTTTAACTTTGCTTGTGGAGTGGCGGAGGGAATAGCCCGCGCGACCCCGCCACCGCCCTCAAGAGGCCTTGTCTCCCGCAGCAACTTTGACTTTGTAACAAGGGCTATTGAGCTTCTCGTAACTCGCCCCCTGGAAATTCAGACTTTCTTAGCTACAACCCAGGTTTCTATGCAACATCCTTAAACTAGGATTTCTTCCAAAGATCCAGTTCAGTGTCAGAGTCATTCAAAAGTGATAGACAAATGTTCTAAATGTGTAAGAGAGAAAGAACAAAAACAAATTCCCGTCCCTACCTTTTCCTGTAAACAGCTTAAGGACCGACCTCAGGACTCATAGACTAAAAAGAGGAAGAATGGCCACCAGGAGGCACTGACAAGGTTGTTTATTATAGTTATTATGCACAAAAATAATATTAAGATAAACAAAAGTTATCCACAGAGCAGTGGGATAGTTATAGGCAAATGGCTAAAACAGGCATGATTCACTGTACCAGAATAGGGCGATTGTATCACCCTAATCAAATGCTTTGTGAACAACCTCCTCTGCAGGCAGTGGTGAGACACCCCCTTATTTACAAATTGGTTGTTCTCACTCAAAGGTTAGGTCTGGAAAATACCACCAGGTTGAAGAGATTATTTTTTAGAGGTATCAATTACAATGAAATAAGATTCCAGTTTTATTAGCAAATATATAAAAATGATCACGTCTTTAAATATCTGGAAATTGCAATTGCATGAAAAATCAGGGATGAATACGTTTAAATTAGTTTAAATGTTGACGTCTAGACTGCCAAATCCCTGTATGTTATACTGATTCCAAGAAAATCATTCCACGTAGGTATCCTATGTGCATTTTGTTTTTAAAATTATTCATTGTTTGGGGCATAAAATGTTCCTTTGTATCACTCTAGCATACACAATCTATGAGGATCAGGAAAAAGAATTAGGTAAAACAGCTGACCTTATAATGCATAAAGCTTCTCATGGGCAATATTAAACTGCAAAAGATGTGCAACAGGTAATTCAGAAAGATAAATATATAGTCGTAAACAATATATTTTTTAGTTCAATGTGGACCATCTTAGAAAATGGTTATTTCACTATTGGTATTAAGGAATTTCATCACTAGGATAGAACTATTTTGTAAAGTCTGGTCTGCAGGCAATTACAAATGGGAAATCTTGTAAAATCTCCTTTTATTAATTTTAAATAAATACTTTATCCTTGATTTTCAATTGCACTCTTGTCTGATCACTTCCTAGAATGGCAGTTTCCCCCTCTGATCTGACCTAATTTGTTTTCATAAAACAGAAACGCAGAGATCCATGTCAGTGTAATGTTCTATGGATTAAGTGGATTTTGAGAAGCACAAAAATTAAACTAAAAATGCAGTTCACTCTAGGAAACAGTAATGCCTCTGGACCATAAATATATGAGAGCCATTTTATTTATGCTTTGTGTTGAATGTAGGATCACAGATGGAAACATCAAAGACCAGTAAATTAACCTGATGTGCCACTTAACCTTTTGTTTATAATCCCACAGAAGTACAATGAAAATAAAATTATGAGAACATCAGTAGCAATTAATTAAATTAGCAAATGTTACCATAAATATCATCTCTAATGATAAACTCTCACTAATAAGATAATGCTAAAGCTATGCAACCTATTACATTCTCACCAGCATACCCCTAAAAGGACCACAGCACTCATATTCCCCATGAAACCATCAACCTAAATTTAATCTTTCCATTTGTTGAGAACCCATGACAGTGCATATTAAAGATAAATTTGAACTCAAATAGTTTGACATAGATATAGGAAATATTTTGAATATTTATATATTTTTAGCAGAAAACCCGAACAAAATATTGCCATTTGATATTACAATCACTATAATAAGCTACTCTGATAAAATTAAACTGCCTCAGAATTAAAACTATAAAATAATTCAAGACCAATTTTTACTCTCAAAAATTTATTAGTCATGGTACCAATGAACACGAAATGTATTTAAAAGAATGAATAGTTTGTATGTTGATATTCATTTATTAGAGAGATTAATGACTTGTCAAATTAATTATCTTCTCAGGGGCAGAGAAACATGAACTAAAGATAAAGCAGAATCTAAAGAGTTAACTTATAATAAGAAAAGATATTGGAGTAAATTTGGATAGAAATGGGTATACTGGGTTGAGGAAAGGATGCATCAAATTCCAGACAAAATGCTTAAATCAGTGTACATATAGGAGCTTGAAAATAACCTCCAGGGTGAACATGTTACCTTCCTCCATAGTTTGATGGCTTAAAAGAAGAATTGTTGAAGTCACTGATCTGGGTACTGGAGCTTGAAATTTCAAGTACTATTATGCCTTTAGAGTATGATCAGATGAGCAGGCATGCTAAAATCATCTAAAATCACAGAGTATGGCAGTTAGTTAATTGGGAAAGTGCTAGGGTATAATTAATGTTAGAATCTTAGAGAATGACTTTCATTAAAAAGCAACCACCCTGGCTTTATCCAACAAAGATAGTGAAAACTCTTAAGGATAACCTTTCAAGCTGTGGAATCACTAATGCATTTGCAGGTTTTTGTGGTTATACCTACTGAATAAAAATGGTAACGTTTACTTGGTTTTGTGGTTACACCCTGGAGAATAAAAACTGCATTATACATTTTTTGAAAGATTATTATCTCCAAGTCAAGTGATTTTAATGTGTCCTGGTTTCCAAATGACTTCATGTAGAAAACAATACCCACAGCACATATTCTAAATACTCAAAGCACTGAATAACACGTGTCTGGTTATTAGGAATGACTGAGAAGTATACTAGGGATTGGTGATTAATTAACATGTTATTAATATAGCCAATGAATATTTTGTTTTTTAATTTTCTCATCCGTTAAAAAATCCATACCTTAAGAAAACACTTAAGTTACAACAGCAATATCCTCCTTGTAAGTTCTTTTTCCCCTGGGAATTAATGACTAGATAAAATGAATGAATCAAAGCATTCAACTTCTACAGATTGCTGATTAATTCCTAGGAAAGATTACAAAGTTCAATTGTATTATTAGTTAATGGCCAAAACAGATCACTTCACGAAATTGGTGTATACACTGGAGTCAATGCTTCTGAGCATAATCACATGGTATATTGCTTTCATTATATTAGTGCCTGTTAGCACAGCGTTAAGCAGTTCTAAGCCCCTTAAGTCCTTTTCTCCTTTTGCTATATGATACCCAGAAAAAAATTTAAAAAATACTACTCAGCAGTGTCAAAGAGCCTTCTCCTTTTTTAGCATTTCAGCATTAATGTGAGAATGTATCACATGAAAATTTAATTTGAAAACCTATCATTTAAATTCTGAAAGAAATGCATGGGAACTCTTGACATGTCTCATTTCTCTCATTTTTGCCAAGTGATAAAATCCAGCATATTGTACCCCACGTCATGCATTATTACATAGAGCAGGTTTACAAAACCATTAAATCACTTGCTATGCTATTCAGGGAAATATCATTATAGTGGAATAGAAACAAGCCACAAAGTAGAAGATGTTTTACTGAAATAAATCAGATGCAATTCTGCCTATTGAAAGATTTTTCAAGGCAGAATCAAAATATATCTAAATGAATATGAAGTCTCATTCGAGCTGAGGATCTGACAGAATGTCCACATTACATGAAATCATAGGCAATTTAACTGCAAATGTCTATCAGCTCACTAATGAGATCACAGGCTCAGCGTGAGCAGATTATAAGCAACCTTCATCCTCAAAGCAAACTACACATTTAGAATCACCTAAATAGAAAAGACTAGTTAATGAGATCATCCAGAAATTCTTGAAATTTGAGAGACCTCAAATCATGAAAATTTAGTTCTTTACCCATAACTTTTAGCTATGTTGAGATTAAATTGTAGATCTAAGTGCACATTTCATAATTAAGTGATTCAAAAAGGCACAAACAGAAACAAGAACTCTGAAAACTTGGGTGATCTAACCAAAGATGTTTCAATGAGTTAAGCTTCTGAAGTAGCCTGGTACAGGGCTTTTACTTGAATTAAGTTTCGGAAGTCCTAAATCAAAAGTCTTGCTTCTTTTTCCTTCTATATTGTAAAGTAGTTGGTTTTTCTCCTGGGTCTTCACCTGTTACAGATCTCAATTTTTTAATAATTGTGGTGACCAACTGAAGTTAGACTTGAACGTCTTCTGTACTCATAAACAGCTAGTTAGAGTATTGCTGTGGCTTAAATTAAAATGCCAAAAATATATTATCATTTCCATTTCAAAATGTGGTTAGGCATAGGGATTCAAAGTCAGAAAAACTAGTGAATTAGGAAGAGGTGAGATTGTATGCGTTGTCTACAATGTATAGTTAGGAAAAACTGCTGGAATGTCCCCCACTAAAGCACTGTTTCCTTCTTTCGTGACCCCCTTCTCACTCACATAGTTGGAACTGTTACAGAGACATCCTCATAAAGCTCCGAGGTCAAGGTTGCCTTTCCTATGCTAAATTCTGTGCTGTGGCAGCAAGTCAGCTTGGGAGGCTGTGTGCATGGCAAAAAAAGAGAACCTGAGAATTCTCTTTTACAAACTCTAATTCTTGTCTGTTTCACATCAGGTGCGTGCTAGTGCAATTGCCCAAGATGCTGATCAGAATTACGACTATGCCAGTAACAGTGTGGTTCTCCATCTGGAGCCGGGAGACGAAGTCTATATCAAATTAGATGGCGGGAAAGCCCATGGAGGAAACAACAACAAATACAGCACGTTTTCTGGATTTATTATTTATGCTGACTGATAATGCAAAAACTAAGCTTATTATTCTGAGTTTGAACACTGGATTCGTATGGCTAACGTCAGTGAATCAAGGATCCCAGGGGATGCCCATGGCAGGGCACCTCAGTTGTGTATATGTGGGGAAATCAAATGCTACCTGACTCACATCTGTATCACTCAGAAACATTATGTAAAAAAAATCAAAGCAAGATAAGCAGATGTGTGATCCACTACCGCCAAAGCAAATACTCCTTATGTTAGTGTCCATGTGAATGAAGTCCTATATAGATCACAAATTTTTATAGAAAAATCTAAGACACTGAATTATTTCTTCAATATATATGATACTTTGGTGTACTGTGATCTTGCTGCTTTTATCCATATGTCAGCTTTGGTTCTTGTGAGTTTACCTGCTTATTATGATCCTTGGAGTCCATTCATAGCGTGGGGAAGAATGATTTTTACTCTGCAGGAGAAGGTCTAATTGAAATAATGCTGCTTGTCCCCAAAGAAATGGTTTGCCTTGTACTCTTGTTAACTTTAGAGCTAGACCTGGGAATGATTCAACTTCAAGCCTTAACCTGGAATTTTCTGGATTTGAGGGAATTCCCAAGCCTATGATCATTTTCACATTTTCTTTTTCTTATGAATGTTCTTTTCTCCCTTTTCTGGTGATAGTCTTTAAAAATAGAGATTGACATTGTATCATAGGATTACCCTCTAAGTGTGAAAATGTGTAATTATGTATGGTATTTAGAAAAACTCCTTATGTGTCCATTTTGTCAACTGAATACATTTAGATTTACTTGGAAAGTCAGAGAAATGTATTCTTTAGTATTAAATCAATCTGAGGCTTTTGCCTTCTTTTGAACAAAAGATTATTCATAACCCAATGCACAAAGGTTTAATTTGAGCTGCTGCATGCGTCACCAAGGGGACACTAGGTAGGCCTTCAAACGGTTACTACAAGTCTGTGGCCTGAGGTTATTTCAAAATTAACAATTTCATATATAGCCAATATGACAACAAACTGTTTATATTTTATATAAATACCTGCCCCCCACACACGCAGTCCCATATACATACATGTTAGATGAAATGTTTTATATATATATGTAAAATGAGCCATATATACATATATGGCTTCAGTCCATAAGGCACAGTGGCTGTATAGCCTCAAAATTTTAATTTAAAGTATATGCATAGACACACACAGACACACAAATATATATAAATTATTTAACTTATTTTAGATCAAAATATATTTTAAATGCCAAAAATTATATGGAGTAGCAAAATGATTAAAATGACTTCCTTTTAGGACTTACCCAGAAATTTATTATTTTTTTTAAGTTAAACGCCCTATATTTTACAGGTCTGTAAGCTAAGGCTCTGGTTGCTTTATTACCATATGCCAATCAATACTTTAACTGCATTCTGCTGCAGACTGTTAACATGAGAACTGCAGAAACAAAATGGCTCTCTTTCGCAATGTTTATGAATTATATGCATTTGAGTTATCAGTTTTTTCATTTTTTTTTCCTCAGATGGATTGAAACTGACAGTACAGTAGATTTTGAGAGTAATGCACATCCCTTCTTTCTGGTTAAAACACACTGCCAAAAGTCATGTCTTTAATTGAAGGAAAAGATTAAAAATGCATGTTGATATCTCCTAACTATTTTTCACTATTACAATGAGAAATCTGTTTGCCATTCAGTTGCCTTTGAAGACTCTTTGACAAGTAGATTTCAAAAACAGAGATTTAAAAATCTGCTTGTTTTACTGGCAAAGGACATTTGCATTTTTTCATTTAAAGGAACTGGTTTGTTCTCCTGGCTCATTCCTCTTTGGTACTTTCTGTTCTAATACACAGAACGCAGATCATCTTTGATCAGCAGAAATATCTTTTATTTAGACGAGCTCAACTTTCCAAGAGTTATGCATGGTGTTCCTGTCTGAAGGTGTTGTTTGCTCTGTTTTAACGCCTTGGTCTGGATAACTGTCATGATTTATATGATTAAAAACAGACCATTCATCAAGAATAATGGCTAATTCTATTTGGCCTTTCTAATAAATGAATCACAATGGATTTTTATTTCTATTTCACAATATATACTTATCCAAGAGGAATTGACAGCAAGGGTTTGGAGAATTTTTTTTTAGGTACCAACTAACACAGTGAGGAGTCAAACAAAAGATTAATTTATAAACAGCAGTGCACATCAACTAAGTGTTTCAATTAAGACTTTTAAGGTTTTATTTACACAAAATATCAGGGCTGGATAACTTTTAAAGAGTAGGCTCTAGAATTGAACTGTCATTTCCAATAGATCTGACCTTTTCTTCAGATAAATTCACATTATTTTCTCTGTTTAGGCCCAAGGAAAAACAAACGGTAAAGGAAATAAAGGGAATATATATGAGGCAAACATTTCTTTTTCTTTTGCATTATATCTTATCAATTAATTAAATTGTGGCCTTTGTTATTATAAATGTAATGATTCATTAAACTATATTATGTAATATATTTTGACTTTCATGATTGAATTTTTACAATTCAGTACTGTTATGTGTTCTTATGTAGGCTTTGAAAAAACACAACAGAATTATGACAAAAATAGATACCAGAAAGCCAAAGATATCAAAACTGATTTATTATAAGGATATACAGATAGGTGACAGCATAACATTAACTTTTGAAAATATTTTTATCACTGTGAATTGGTTATTATCTGACAGTATTCTTTGGGGGAAAAAAAAGAGTCTCAACATTTAACTCCCCTTGCTGCAGAAGCTATTTTAAAGTGCCATATTATTCATTAAGCATTAATTAAAGAACAGCAGGATAATTAGTAGGATCATCAATATTACAAGAAACATTAGATTTCTTGAGAAGGGAATGATTTAACCAGAAACAATTTAAATTGTCTCAACTTATACAGCTGACAGATTAGGGGGAAAAAAACCCCAAAACAAAAGCAACTCCAGTTAGACGAACTAGAGTGGACTAAATCATTGTTTAGAAATAGGCACTTCTGTAAGTATTTTGTTAAGGCAAAATGATAGAACTCAATTAGGCTCCATAACTCCCTAGAGGTGCAGGTTTAACAGTACTCAGCCAGGTTCTGAGAAGGCACACTCTTCTAATTCTCATAAGGAAATGATCAGTGATTAGTCCTAGGTAACTCCGATTAATATCTCACACTGGGTTGGAAATCACTGAATGTTCTCTGCAAGTTTCATAATCAACATCCTATTTGAAAGTCAGCCATTGCTTAGGATTCTCTATTAGAATCTTATCAAGTGCATTCTCAGATATGCCTCTCAGTAACATTTTCGGAACAACGTTGGTGAGGATATGAGAATAGCCGTGACCTCCATATTTCATCAACCGATGCTTCGTATGTATGTCATGAGCCATCAGAATTCGATCTTCGTAGCCCTCATCCACCAGGAAACGCACCCTGTGAAAAATGTTAACTCGTTAGATGTCATTTGTCTCACATTTCAGCTTTTAAGGTGCTTTCAACTTTTTACTCATCAACCTATTGTGCTCGTCGTAAAGATACTGCCTTCCACATGTGGCATGTGTACTGAGAGATCTTTAATAAATATTGTGTGGTGTTGACAAAGATATTGCTGCATTCTAGTAGGGACACGATCCTTAATCCATGCACACGGACATTTCTAACCTGTGATATTTATGACAATGTCTGGCAATATTGCATTGAAGCTAGCTTTTAATAGGATGAGCCAATTTGAATGAATGACCATTTTAGCATTTCACTGAATCATTTGTTCTGGTTTTGTATTAAGGGCTCCTCTCTAAAATGTCTCTCTTAGTGGACCCATTTTTCAGACCTCATTGTTACTGTCTTTGTGCAGCCAAGACAATCAATGGCTATGTGTGATTAAGATAGGGAAACAAGAGGAACCTTCGTACAAATCAAATGTTCTCAGTGTAAAATCAGTGGGTTTGCAAGTGAAGGGCAAATGGGAAGCTACACAGTCATTGATAACAGATGGGTAGGCTGGGCTCAGTGGTTCAACCTGTAAACCCAGCACTTTGGGAGACTGAGGGGAGTGGATTGCCTGAGCCCATGGGTTCGAGATCAGCCCAGGTAACTTGGCGAGACCTTGTCTCTACAATAAATAAAAAATTAGCCAGGTGTGGTAGCGTGCATCTATAGTTCCAGCTACTTAGAAGGCTGAGGCGGAAGGATCGCCGGAGCCCAGTAGGTCGACGCTGGGGTGGCTGTGAGCGTGCCACTTCGCTCCAGCCTGGGAGACGGAGTGAGACTCCAGCTCAAAAAAACAAAACAAAACAAAAGATGGGCAAAGGTACTTCCGATTTTTCAGCATTTGCCCTTTGAAAGCCTATAGGAATGGTTATTTGGTCGCAGTCTCTGAGCATTAGATTCAACTGACCAATAAAAATGTATTTTTTCTTCCTTTCATGCCAACGGGATTGCTAAAATGATAAGCTGTTCCTTTAAATTTATAGTCAGTGGACTAAAGAACAGCTTCCTGACTATTCTCTAAAAATGAAATCCTCTTTGCTTTGTTAAACGCTGTAATCTGTAGTGTGAGTCACCTCCTGACAGCCACCATCTGTGTGTGTCTGGGCTCCGGGCAGTGTCTGCTGTGACTTCCATGGGTCTCTGATGGTGGAAGATGCAACTCACAGACAATGGCTTTTCTCTGGAATTCTCTGGTTAGCCTTGTCGGTGTCTAGATTCTAAAGTGGATGTGGATGGAATTTTGAATCTAGATGGATATTTGAAAGGTGTCCCTTTTGTTTCTATAGCCTTTCTTGGCATTCTAGTGCATGAGTCATTTTTGATAACTACTACTGTAGGCAAAATGTGGAGCACTACACACACACAAAACTCAAATGCAAAACCTGCCCCTTGAGAATACACATTTAAAAATAAATAATTGAAGATTAGACCTTGTTCCCATATGTCAAAGAAATGCAAGGACCAGAGTTGAAGAGCCAACCTGGACATTTGAGCCACTAAGGTGGTTTTTGTTTGTTTGTTTGTTTGCTTTTAAAAATGTTTTTGACCTCATTGAAATCAGTGTAATGTCCTAAAGTTCTGATCTGCATTTCCTTTTGGAACAAACTCTATTTGAGGGAATTATCAAAGAGATCACCTATGAAAAAAAGAGAAAGATTTGACAGAATGCATACACAATGCGGAACCTTAGTGTGACAAACCTTGACCCACAACTGCAAAGGAATATCACAGGACAGGAGGCTTTAGGAAATTATTTTTCTCTGATATTTTCTGAGCATTTCTCAAAATGTTTGTCTCTTTTTCTAATCTAAGAAATATGATATCTCATACAACAAAGGCATAGCATATAGATAAACAAATTCCTGTAAGACGTCTTCAGTCAGACCTTGAAACACAAAGTCATCGAATTGTGAAGTAATAAAGAAAGATTATAGTGGACAAGATACTCTTATTTTAAAATGGGAACTCTTAGAACTCACTAAGAATCTGGAGATCAGTTATCTCACGAGAAAGATAATGTTATGGTTCTAGAAACACTATTATATCCTGACTATCAAAGAAACCTGCCTGGTCGCACTTACACTAAGAGACTATTCCTCATGTTGTGCCTTTGTATGGAAGAGCAGGAGTTACAGAGATGCTGCCAGAAGGAAGGAACCTCTACAGATGAGAAGACAAAAAATCACAGTAATTATAGAAATACAAATGAGTTCATGTTTTGCAAACAAATATTAGAGAGAGACTACAAAGTGTGAAAAGGCAGAGATATAATAAGATTTGAGAAATGGAGCAGAAGATTGAAAACAGGTGTTAGACACAGAATTTCTGGTGCTAAAAACCAGAGGTAGGCAGAAGCGTGTTTCTACGTTCTTGTACTTCATAGGTTTAAACAACGATGGCTCAGAAGAGAACTACAAATGAATGATGAAAACCAAGTGCACAAGATGTAGGAGACAATGGGATATTGGAGTGCACACAAGCCAAAAGGATATTCAGTACTTACCACGAACTGTCCTTGGGTCAGGTGACCTAATGCATGGCTTTAATTTAAGAAAGATTAAGCACACATACATGCTTATTGTATGGAATAGCACACATATATCACATATATAAACACATATGCACCATATATATACACACACCATATATACACATGTAAATATATATATATACATGTGCATATATGGTATATATATGTATATATGGTGTGTGTGTGTGTATATATATATATGTAATTTTTAATGTATTTCCATACATACAGAATGTCTACATTTAGTACAATAAAAAATAACCAAAATGGCTGAAAGGAGCTAAGAAGGAATGCTGGGGGAGCCATCGGTCATTCTTTCCTCATATCTCCTTCATAAATCCCCTTTCACAGATCTCCTCTCTCTTGTTCTAGGTCTGAGAGCCTCGTGGAAGGCTAGGGGTGCAAAAGATACATCTAGCTGCCGCAAAAGGGCTTAGGAAAAGGAAGCAGATCCTGAGTGCAAACTTCCCATTTTTTTTTTTTTTTTTTTTTTAGTTGGAGTCTCACTCGGTCACCCAGACTGGAGTGCAGTGGCCACTTCC